TCTTTCCATTTGAATGATACCAATACCTCCCTACTTTTCATACTTGCTTTTAATTCCTATACTTTTTTTTTTTTTTACAAAATTTGAAAAAAAAATACCACATATGGAGTTCTCTAAGAAGGCAACTATAAATGTGATTTTATATACACACACACTCACACAGGTGAGAGCAAGAGCAAGAACAAGAGAGAGAGATAAAGAGAAAGAGGTAACAGAGAGACACAGGACAAAAATACTTATATAGACATTCTGAAGTATTTCATAAAACAGAAGAGAAATTTCCTAGTAATTCATCTATGAGTAAATGATAAAATGGATGGAATAAATGCAGAATCCTCACTTTCTCTGCCACTCTCAGTTTTCAAGGAATAAGAAAATGTCTTCTCATAACCACACTACAGTGGTGGAATTCATTCTCTTGGGACTCACAGATGACCCAGTATTAGAGAAGATCCTGTTTGCAGTGTTTCTGGTGATCTACCTAGTCACCCTGGCAGGGAATCTGTGTATGATTGTACTAATCAGGGCCAACTTCCACCTCCAGACGCCCATGTATTTCTTCCTGAGCCACCTCTCCTTTGTAGACATTTGCTATTCCTCCAATATCACTCCCAATATGCTGCACGATTTCCTCTCAGACCAGAAAACCATCTCCTATGCCGGATGCTTCACACAGTGTCTTCTCTTCATTGCTCTGGTGATCACTGAGTTTTACATCCTTGCTTCAATGGCACTGGATCGCTATGTGGCCATCTGTAGCCCTTTGCATTACAGTACCAGAATGTCTAAGAACATCTGCATCTGTCTAGTCACGGTCTCTTATGCTTGTGGTTACCTTAATGGACTCTCCCAGACCCTGCTGACTTTTCACTTGTCCTTCTGTGGCTCCCTTGAAATCAATCATTTCTACTGTGCAGATCCTCCTCTTCTACTGTTGGCCTGCTCTGACACCTATGTCAAGAAGATGGCGATGCTGGTAGTTGCCGGTTTGACTCTGTCAAGCTCTCTCTTCATCGTTGTGCTATCCTACCTGTTCATTATTGCAGCCATCTTGAGGATCCGTTCTGCTGAAGGCAGGCGCAAGGCCTTTTCTACTTGTGGCTCCCACTTGACAACAGTCACCCTATTTTATGGAACCCTCTTCTGCATGTACTTAAGGAGTCCATCTGAGAAGTCTGTAGAGGAGTCCAAAATATTTGCAGTCTTTTATACTTTTTTGAGCCCAATGTTGAACCCACTGATTTATAGTCTAAGGAATAAGGATGTGATCCATGCTATGCAGCAAATCATTAGGGGAAATCTCTTTTATAAAACTGTAGTGTAGGCATCTGTTCATTGTAATTACTAAATGTTTGTAATAACATAGTAAATCCCTTCACAGGGCAAACCCAGCACTCTATGGTCATGATATAGTCTCTTCATAAACTCATAATGACAATAGCGAATTCCTCTCAGGATTAATAGCTCCAAGACAACTTGTTTTAATAAAAACTGTTTCATTGAAGTTAAACAATATTTTATGCAGCAAAAAAATCTCAGAATATAAATTAGTGGTGTCCAATAACTTCATAAAATACTTTAGTGTCTTTACTTACTTGGGAGTAAGTATTAGAATTAATTCAGTCAATAAGAACACCAGAAATCCATTTTTCTGAATTATGTGGTCTACAGAGTTACAATGAGTTTCAAAATAGGGTGATCAATTTTATACTTTAAAATATTATAAAATAATCTATTCTCCAATGAATGATATAGAATGATGGTTCTGGTGCCCGAGTAATCACTGAAATCATGTTAGGGAAATTTAAATATATGGATCCCTCCTAGGTTTAAGCACTCAGTAAATTTTTCCCAACCAAAATTTTCCCAAACCAATTTTCCCAACCAATAACCTGAGAGAGTTTTTGTCTTATTGTAAATATTATTTATGCTCTTTGATTTTAAAAATAAACTGTCAACACCTGCTTATAAATTTAGTGTAATAGCAATCTAGGTATATTTTTCAGCTACTAGTTCTGACTTAGATCTAATTTATTCAGAGTTAATAGAGTCTATCAATTAGCTCTGTAGACCTAAGAATGCCCTGAAACAGTACACAAATGAGAGTAGCTTCTGTATCTTTCTGGAGGAAAACATCCAATATTTACTTTGGTTCATAAAAGTGTCTGTGACTCATTATTTTGTAGAAAAGGCTGTTACAGTAGTTCTCAAATTTCTATTGTGCAAATTATAGTAAATAAGATTATATGAAGAGATGCATAATTCATCCACATTAACCTATCTATGCATTATTAGTCAAGTAGATAGCTGTGTATTGAAATATATATTAAATTTGTTTAAGTTGCCTTAGATGTTTTGTATTCTAATATTGTGTATTTTTAAAAAAGATTTTATTTACTTATTGGAGAGAGAGAGGGAGACAGAGATAGTGAGAGAGAGCAGGAGCAGGGAGAAGAGAAAGAAGCAGGCTCTCCACTGAGCAGGGAGCTTGACAGGAACTTGATCCCAGGACCCTGTGGTCATGACCTGAGCTGAAGATACATGCTTAAGGTTAACCAACTGAGCTACCCAGGCACTCCTAATATTGTGTGCTCTTATTCTAAGACCACACTACTAAACACTTATATGAAATCAATTCCTATATTTACTATAATTTATTCATATGATTTTCTAGAACATCACCTAAAGGACCACAGTTAGTTTGGGGCGCCTGGGTGGCTCAGTGGGTTAAACCTCTGCCTTCAGTTCAGGTCATTATCCCAGAGTCCTAGGATCAAGCCCCACATCAGGCTCTCTGCTCTACAGGGAGCCTGCTTCCTCCTCTCTCTACCTGCCTCTCTGCCTACTTGTGATCTCTGTCTGTCAAATAAATAAATAAAATCTTAAAAAAAAAAAAGGACC